GGGGAACTACCAGAAAGTGCAAAATATGAAGAAGGCAGCTTTCAGCTCCTTCAGCATGGAGTAGAACATTCAATTTTGAGCTTTTACTATTGAATTTGAATAGCCTGCACATTAAAAAAAAAAAAAAAAAGTTTTCTATAGAAACCCAATTTCTTAAAGTCCAGGAAGCATGCAGCTGGTTAATGTTAACAAAAGACCTTGACAGGAACATGTAAACTATACTGAATGTCATGCGTGGGGCCTATCTGCCAGCAATATTGTAGAGTTGTTTCATTAAAAATGAATACTGTACACTGAATATGGGAAAACTTTCTGCAGCCTTCATCGTTTCACACGGTACATAGAATTTTGAGTCTAGGTCAAGAACATGTCCTGCTGTCACACTGCTGAAGATGTCCCTGTGCAATCTCTTTCGTTGAGTCCTTATGAAGCTACAAGTCACAAATCCAAGATCCTGCTCCCTGAGGACACATGATGTGAGACAGCACTGTTTTAGTTTTCTGCCTATCCTGAATGCTCTGTGAAACTTAACCTTAAATACCATCACGTAACAATCACAACAACTTTTGCTAAAGGCCGTATATACTCATAAAAAGACAGTGGTGCTTCCGACATTCTGAAATGCTCTGAAAACCAACTTTCCCAATACTAAATACAACAAAATAACCTTCATAAAATATAACTTTTCTCCATTTACACTTTTTTAAAGGATTAGTATCCTATGCTTTTCAAGCACAGGAATCTGTGAAATAACTCCTAACATGGACAGATTTTTTTTTTTTAATACATAACTTAAGAGACTGGAGAGTTTTAACTCAAGTCCAGTCTCTAAACAAGGAATATTCTTGTTTACTTTAAAAATGGAAACAACATATAGTTCCATTATCATTGTTAAAAAGTTAGCTTTACAAACATGGGAATTTTAATTTAAAAAAAAATTCTTAACAAAACTATACAGTGTACAAATTACTGTCTACAAGGTAGGCGGTTCGTTAAGAAGACCTTTCGCTCTTCTTGCTACTTGCAGCTTCACAGATTCATTCACATATTTTTTTTATTGGAGCTGCCCACCCGAACATTACCCGATAACTATATTGCTATAATTAAGATTTTTGCCATGTCTTTATGTACAGTCTCCTTCACTGCCTTTTATTTATTTTTGTTCCTTAGACAAGCCTCAAACGCTCATGTCACTCCAGGGGAAACAAGCTTCAGAGGCACTGTGAGTGGTGGGCTGCAAGGCAACACAACAAAGGCTGAACAGTGCCAGGAACTTGGTGGTGGAGACACCACCCCCTACTGATGCCCTTGAGTGACCTTCGCCATCCTGAAGCTCTGCAGCTCTGGGTAAGGGAGGGGCGTGCAAGACCTGCAAAAGTGGGGCCCTTCGTCAGAATATACTTCCTGGTAAGAAAGGAGGCGGCCAAAAAATGGATTTGAGATTATATATATAGTAGTATTTTTAATTGTTTTATCTCAACAGGAAAAAAGAAAACATTGATTTAAAAAGAAAAATAAAAAAGCAACACTCGAACTAGGCCTTTGTATCCAAGAGGCAGGCAGGAATACCCACAGTGTGTAACTTACTTAGCTAGAACTGCTCATTCACTGGCAAAAAAGAGAGCGAGTCTGCCCTTAAAAAATACTGTGTCCTGTGAGGTTGGTTTGTTCATCTAATAAGTCAGAGATACATGAGGAGCTTGGCTGAGATGATCTGTTTTCTACCAGGGCAAGTAGCACAGAAATGACTGGACTTACTTTTGAACTTGCACTGCTCAGATCCCGCTGTGCTATTCAGCATTGGGGCTATCAAACTGAATGGGCTAATCAAATACAATTCTCCAGCCCATAAGCATTGTTCTAAAGTATTCATTATTAAATGATATGCTGTGAGAACAATTGACAGTTTATTTTATTAGGCCATGCCTGGGAGAAAGGGGTCAAGGGGCTTCTCAAGACAGCCTACCTTGTGTCACTAATTCTGAAACATTTTCCTTCTAGCAATGCATCCACTCGATGGGATTTGGGGGGCTGTGCAGGGGCCTAGCAAGGGGGTGGGGTACAAAGTAAAATCAGTCTCCATTCACCTTCCAGCCCTCAGGAAAAACTAAATCAAATATATATTTGAGGTACCATTCCTTAAAAATATCCATCTGCATCTAATGGGCTTAATTCATCCACAGGAAAATTAATTTCTTAAAATTCTATATTTCCCTTTGCTCTGGTTCTCAGTTTAAAGGTCAGGTAAAATGAAAACTTAACAAGATTTACTATTTTGTGTTGTTCCTTAAAAATTGAACTTTGATTTTAATCTATCAGTCCAAATACATTCAATAGTAACTCTCTGTTCAATCTTCTTGATGAAAAAAAAAAATCCAACTACACTGTCATCTGTTTAAAGTAGATAAATCATATCCTATCATTCATGAAATAAACAAACAGGGATGAGAAGTGGTGGAAAGACTCTGGGAACACGCTCTCCAACTGGTCAGATGTGTACTGTAGGAGAAAGTAAATTCCTATGTTAAAGTTCAAAAGTGTGAAATATCCAACATCCACTATACGGACATTTCAACAAATATCTGCTGAATAATGAGATAGACTCACTCTCCACTGTGGATATGGAACTTTCCAGAAAAACTACCACCACCATCAATAACAACAACAACAACAACAAAAAAGGTAAGACAGTTTTTTTAAGCCAAGTCTGCCTCCAGGAGAATTTGTTGTGTTTGCTTGTTCTTACTATTTGTTGTTATGAAAACCAGAAATGAGTTCAGCTTGCACCCCAGGTGGGAAGTCAGAGAGGGGGAACCTGTGTAAGTTGAAGTTTGTCACAGTAGGCAGAACAGTCGCTTTGCAGCCCAGGCCCATCTCAGGGTGCACTGCTTCACAGCTACACTGTAAAGTGTTAAAAATCCTCCCACCCACCCCAGAATATATATATATGTATATTAAAAAAAAATCCCCTGTCCATCTCTCAGTACACAAAAGGACCTCATCACACTGCAAAAATAGCAGTACCCACTTTGGTCAATTAAAACAAACAAACAAACAAAAAGCATACATTATTTTTTTTTTAAATCTGTGTACTTACCTATAATAACCAATACAGCTAAAAGCACTACCTACATAGGCAAAACTTGGTATTGCATAATTCGTATAAATTTGAAACCCCTCCCCCCCCAAATATTAATTGGAAGATGAAAAACATGAAAGGTTAATAGAAAAAACACCAAAATACTGAAAATATTGCTGGTCGATTACAATTTTTAAGCGGCAACTATACACAGCCATGATATGCTTTATAAATGTGAGATAAAGGTATAACTGTCTAAAAAATCCATGATGTCACACATTTTTCTTCGTCTGGAGTACAAAATATTTTGTCATAAAAATGGTAAAGATTTAAAATGATAATAAATGCAGCAAAACAAGTGTAGTGATGTCACTTTTTGTTTTTTTGTTTTTTTTTTTGTTTTTTGTATTTTAGATTTCAAGGCAAGGCACGTAATGTGGACATTATATCTTCGTGCAAATTAGGATTACTGGAAAGAGTATTTTTAATTAAAATTTTAAGAGACATAGAGGCAAAATGTGTCTGCCCATGCACACTACGGATCTGTCAATACAAGAAATTTGTTGAACAAGGCTAATGTCTGAAAGCACCATGCAAGTTTTCAGCACCCTGATTACATTTGTTTTCTCAAGAGTGCGTTTTTATATCCTACACCCTGGCGTTCCCAGTTTGTAAACTGTAAGCTTTACCCTTGTGACATGGATTTGCCTGTCTCTTTGTCTCTATAATGCAGATTTTATAGAACCTTTTGTACACCCTATGGGTTCTTGATGCAACCAGTAATTTTAAATAAATAAATTCTACCTCCAAGGAGGCTGCAGCTAAACCAACATAAGTGCTGTGTTTTCATTAATTTTTTTTTCCTCAAGCACATGATTTGTCTTGATTTAATGCCTTTTTAATGCCCTCAAAAACTGAGGAGAAAATAAATTCGTTCAAAATTATTTTAAATTCTTTTTAATCCCCTCAATTTAGAGTCCAAGGGCTGAAGGACTTATAATCATGATTCCCCTTTAGATATAAATTTATAAATTGCACTTGCCTCTGTTAAGTGTTTCTTTTGTGGGGAAAATATTATATTAATTTTTTACTGTTGCATGCAGAGATAACACTTCACCTACATAGAGGCATTTCTTCCATAGAGCCTTTGTGTTCAAACTGTTTTTTTTTTTTCTTTTTTCTTTTTTTTCCTTTTTTTTTTTTTTTTTTTTAGATTTTAAACTGGGTTACACACTGGAAAAGGCTGGGTTAAGGGCCAAAATTTAATAAATCTGTACTGATAACTAAAGGCTACAGAGATTTTATGTGTTTTTTAACTTTTAGAAATCAGAGTGCTTATAAAATGGCTGGCTCATGGCTCTGTCACCCAGCACCTCTGACGCCGCCTCCTAGCCTTCGTTGGTGAGATAACCAGGAATAGTGATTCCATGCGTAAACAACAAGAATACTAAACCAATAAAACTAGCTTATCATGCAAATATTAAGGCATCTAGAAAGTCAGTTAAAATATATTGTCATAGAGACAGAACATCTATTTCCCAGCGGACTTCATGTAACAAAGGCTACGTTGCAGGGGCTGCGATCTACCATCAGTGAAATATCATCGACCCTTTTTTATGTCATTACAGTTTCAACCTTAAGGGAATTAGTGATTGTAAGTGCTGCAATTGCTGGTCTATTATCTTCTTTCTTCAGTTTCTTTGCTTTCTCCCTTTGTTTTGTTTTGTCCAGTCTTCCTTTTTTCCATGTTTTTAAAAAATTTCTTAAACCGTTGTTGAATTTCTTTTTCCCTCAGTTGCTTGTTTCTGCTTGAAGGAAAGGCTCTCCAATTATGTTCAAACTGTAATTTTGGACATTGGCCGGTAGGATGGGTGTCCTATTTGACACTTGGAAAGGAACCAAACTAGCCCAGGTACCAGGACTGTTGAGAGGGACAGCAAAGAGGAGGGGGAAAAAAAAAGAAAGAAAAAACACAACGTTAAAATTTACAACAATATTAGAAATACAAATTCCATATGCAACAAACTACTACTATACTTTTTTAAAAAAATTATAATCTGCGATAAACATGGTAAATTATGTATATATACCTATAGATACACCCTGACCAATTTCGATTAGGGAAAGTAATACTAATTGTGAGCAGAAAAATCTAGAGTAGGACACACACACACACACACACACACACACACACACAATTGTTAAGTTCTGATTGAGGATATTCTTCTTAATAAAGTAAATATTTGGTCCATTTTGATGGAAATGCGATATAATTTTTTGTTTGTTTAAAAAAGAGAAAGAAAGCAGCAATCTACAATGATACCAATATAGTTTGCCTATTTGAGTCTAACCTTGTTTTACCTTTAATTCACGGGCAATTCGGTAGTAAAATAAGGTTTGGATCTTTACCTGTCTATTGGATTGAATAAACTGAGAAGGTGTAATGAGAGATAGTTCCTTTCTCCTCATAACAGGACAAATATTTTTTTTTTTAAATTTGTAGGGTAGGCTCATGCCTGACAGGCAATTTTAATGATCTAACCATTAAACATATGTTAGTTGGAGAGTTTTAGTAAAGACTAAACAAATGAAAATCATAGAACCAAAATGGAACATGTTTTTTGTTTGTTCTCTTTGGAATACTGATATAAGGAAAACATGTATAGGAAGCGACCAGGTCTCTCTTTATGTTTATTTAGTTCTGTAACTCTCCAGTGGTTTTCTTATCCTCTTCTGTGATGTAATTACAGATACGTAATTACCAGAGTTTTTTTTTTCCAATTCATAGTTTTTTAAATTGGCTGGGAACAGAAACCTGAGCATTCTCTGCCCTGCCCTATCAAGAACGATTCTGCTTCTGAGCTGCTCTGACTTGGGCAGTTCAGGGTGAGAGAGTGGAAGACTGTGTTGGAGGAGGTAGTAGATGAAATTCCTTGTTCTCTCCAATCAGCTCTACTTACTTTTACCTTGGTGGACTTGGATTGCCCGGAGCAGGGGGTGGGGAATATTCTGAAAAATAGTTCTCTGGTCGCTACTGCATAATCTCCCACTTAAGAAGGAGCGTGTGGAGGAAAACATCATGCCTATACAACGAAACTACCACACACCATGCATTTTAGGGTATGCCTGATCTGTTGTATTGCTTGTCTCAACACTCAGAATGAACGTCAGCTAAATAACAGCTGCATAAATAATCAAGAACCTAGAAAACATCAGACAACTCCATACCCAGTTGTGTCATGGTCTGGCATGGAAACATACTTTTAATGTTTTACATTTCATTTAGTATCCTTTGTTTTACTTTTGGAGCCATGAGATGGACACTACTATTATGGCTATCAAATTAGACATGCTCACCTGTTCATATTTTAATTCTAAAGACAGAAAAACTTTCATAGAGTATTAAGTTAAAGGAACAATTTTGGATTAAAAAAAAAACTTCATTCTATTTTATTTTTAATCTGGTAATACCTTTGCCAAAAATGAATTATAGCTAAATGTCTAGGTACATATTTCTGAGTTAATATTTGTACAGAAATAAAATCCCAATGACCTTCTATGCTCGTGAAATTTTATGATTAGACTATAAGCTCCACGACATCGAAGTCCATTTCTCTTTTTGCTACCCATCTAGTATAGTACCTAGCACATAGTATTCAATCAATTTTTGTATAAACAAACATCAACCAACTGTTTCAAGTCACCACCCAACTATACATTTTTAAGAGGTTTTGCTCATGATTACATATACTCATGAATATACTGTGATTTGATCTCCTCTAAAAAGGAAATAAGTATGTCTAACTTTAAAACTAGATGTACTTGGCATTAGCAACAATTAATTATGCAGGAATAATCATACTCCAACTAAAAAGATATATCCTCATTATCAAATGAAAACCATAATCTTCAAGAGTAAAAATATTTGTTATTGAAAGCTTCTCTAAGATACTTCACTGTTTTCACATATTTCTCTCTTCCCACACACATCTTCAACAATTATTTCTGTGCTTTGCACCATTGATTGAGAGCAATGTTACATAATGCATGGAGAAACTTATTTTGTCTTCATCTGTGCTTCCACTGCACTTTGTACACAGTCCGATTACAGTATTTATTACTTCATACCATAATGATCTGCCTCTGTGATTATCTTACTGACTGAAAGGTGAGTTCTGCAGAGAAAATGACCTAGTCTTATCTATCCTTATAGAGTCTGGGCATAGTGGATGCTAACTATTTCTGAACAAATAAAATTAATTACAAAACTGAATGCTCATTATTTTTAACCTGAAGTAAGAAGCATGCATCGAAAGCAAAAAGACTAGCTTAAATAGATGATCCTTGACAATAAAAGACAACATCAAGAACAAGCAAATTACCTTGAAATATTAACAAGAGTCACAAATGAGCTCAAGAATGTCATTTAGAGACTGTATGCTTTAGGGATATAAAATATATTTTAATGACTTGAAAATAAGTGTGACTCCTTAAAAGGGCAAGTCAACCAACAAATGGCAGAAATGACAAGAATTCTAGGTTTATTTTTCAATACTTTTCTTCGTTCTTTAGAAAGAACTATATTATTATTTTTTTCAAAATGCTCAGTAAAATCAAAATGATTCTAGTCACTAACAGAATTCTTGCTGCCAAATGCCCAACAAATTTAATCGAAATGTTTATTTAAACCTTTCAAACCTCCTATCCTACATTATGACCACATCGACGTTGCAGTGTGCAATATATTTGTCAATACCGTTTATGAGCCTTTGGGGAAAAATAAATCTCAAGCATTAACACTATGCAGACCCCATATATGAGTTTTATAAGTCTCTTTTTGCCAATTTGTAGGTTAAGTTCAGAACTTTAAGGTTCAGACATATTTTTAGAGCTTTTTTGATAGTCCCATTTATTAAAAAAAATGGTAAAACTAAATCAAAGCCAGTGATAACAATGTAAATAAGAATGTTTAACCACATGAAATAACCTAGATCATTTAGCTTTTAAAATAATATCTAAAATTGTATTTGTTCAAGTAAAAATATACTCATGTTTTTAACATGTCTCTTTCTATATAAATTAATGTCAATAATCACATATATGGATAAAATAAACACACGTATATATACACAAATTTGTTAAGTGTAAAATATGTTCATCCAAAAGACTGTGCTCTGTCTACTAAGAGATGTCATAATAACTGAAAAGGTTTTATTATACTCAAGGTCAAATGAAACTACCTCAGTAATTTATCTTCAAGCATATATTCACTTGGTCTTCCTTAAATTTTCCATTGCCAAATCACTTTTCTTTAAGCAAACAGAAAATAAGCATGACTGAAAGGTGAAAGCACATCTTTAGAAAATATTATATTGTCAGGAAAGTCATGATGTATTTTTCTGTGCAAAAATATATCACAACCAACAACATATATATATTCTGGCCATAACCCATTAAAAAAGAGAAAAATATTGAGTACTTTGTAAAAAAAAATTAGGCACAAAAAAGTACAAAATACTGTGATAGTTCCTTAATTCAAAGCACAACTCACGCTAATGACTTCTACTGTATGAATATAATAAAATATTTCACTATAAACAAAATATATAAATGCTGAATCAAAATCTCAAAAATAGCTGGACAAGGTAGTATGTGCCTATAATCCCAGCAACTCGGGAGGCTGAGGCATGAGGTTTGTGAGTTTGAGGTCATCCTGGGCAACATAATGAGACCCTGTTTCTTAAAATAAAAAAAAGCTTACAAATAAAATATCTGATATCAAGGATAATATTTTTGCATTATTTTGACCACATGTGTAATGGGGCTTCCCTAAAAAGGGAAGAAGCCAATAAATTCACTATTTTGACCTGAAGATGCATTATGAGCATCGGTAAGTGATAGTTTTGTTTCCTTTAATGCCAAGTCTACTTCTGAAGCATTGTGATTCTTTTTTAAGCATCATTCAGCAAGAAAAACAAACTCACTCGATTGAATTTCTTTGTTAAAGAAATTCACCAAATCATGTCATTTGAGCACTCACACAACAATCCTGAACAGTGTGGTTTCTAACGTAACTAACACTAAGTTAACCTACCCTTCCCCAGTTCTTCTGGGTAGGTTCTTAGATATTATTAGAGAAAATTGTTTATTGTACATTTTGGAAGAGAGCCTAATACCTGTGTGTCAATCTGTGCCAATAAAATTAAGAATGTTTAGTCAAGGAAGTAAAACTTTTCATTCTTGGGGATGCCTGCGATTGCTGCAAAGGGAAGTAAAGGCAAATCCTTCTTTTAAATTACAATAACCATTTTATTTATTTCCTACACTATCTGAGCCAGTCCTTATTTTTATCATTATCTATGAATAATGTGGCTACTTGTACAGTTGCAGTATGTATGAATACATATAATCGTTTGTGCTTAATTCCTGTAATTATTTTTAAAGCTTCTCAAAAGAGTACTTAATATCATTGGAATAAATATGGTAGTCTCATGATTAAATCAGTATGTAAAATATGAAATGGGCAATATTGTTATTTCCCTGAAAAGTTTTAATATACTGAATACTTAGACGTTTTATAAACAGCTTAACAAATGGGTTGCCAAAATGATTATCAAATAAACACAGACTATTAATAAACAAATTTTGCCATTCTTGAATTAGCTCTTAATGTTCTAATCACCATGAATGAATAGGCGAAGTAATAAAGTCTTTGACTTTGTTTGGTTCCAGACTTGATTTAATGAATTCATGTATATTTATTTGGCACTCAGTGGTTCTCATATGGTTACTGAATTAAAAGTTAAGGGCCCAATCCTTCTTGGCCTAGAAGATACATTCACAGAATACATAATTTTTACAAATAAAACTATCAAATGTTGGTTGGTTTGGCTGCCCAGAACAATTTTCTGCCTTTATTAA